TTTCTAGGGTTTCAGAAGCAACGTTCGACATTTTTTGGGTGCGCTTCTCGGACTAGTTCGTCCTTCAGCGCCATGGTGTTTCGATGTGGCGATGGGTACGTTTTGGAGGCCTGCAGTACCAGTTGCAGCAGCAGGACTAGCAGCACCAGCAACAGCAGCAGCAGCATCGTTTGGCCGTGTCTGAGCACCGATTTTCTGTTCTGTTTCTAGAGTTTCAGACGCAACGTTAGACACTTTTTGGGTGCGCTTCTCGGACTAGTTCGTCCTTCAGGGCCATGGTGTTTCGGTGTGGCGAAGGGTACGTTTTGGAGGTCTGCAGCACCAGTTGCAGCAGCAGGACTAGCAGCACCAGCAGCAGCAGCAGCAGTAGCAGCAGCAGCAATAGCAGCAGCAGCAGCACCGTTTGGCCGTATCTGAGTGCCGATTTTCTGTTCTGTTTCTAGGGTTTCAGAAGCAACGTTAGACACTTTTTGGGTGCGCTTCTCGGACTAGTTCGTCCTTCAGGGCCATGGTGTTTTGGTGTGGCGAAGGGTCCGTTTTAGAGGCCTGCAGCCTGCAGCACTAGCAGCACTAGCAGCAGCAGCAGCAATAGCAGCAGCAGCACCGTTTGGCCGTGTCTGAGTGCCGATTTTCTGTTCTGTTTCTAGGGTTTCAGAAGCAACGTGAGACACTTTTTGGGTGCGCTTCTCGGACTAGTTCGTCCTTCAGGGCCATGGTGTTTCGGTGTGGCGAAGGGTACGTTTTGGAGGCTTGCAGCACCAGTTGCAGCAGCAGGACTAGCAGCACCAGCAACAGCAGCAGCAGCATCGTTTGGCCGTGTCTGAACACCGATTTTCTGTTCTGTTTCTAGAGTTTCAGACGCAACGTTAGACCCTTTTTGGGTGCGCTTCTCGGACTAGTTCGTCCTTCAGGGCCATGGTGTTTCGGTGTGGCGAAGGGTACGTTTTGGAGGCTTGCAGTACCAGTTGCAGCAGCAGGACTAGCAGCACCAGCAACAGCAGCAGCAGCATCGTTTGGCCGTGTCTGAACACCGATTTTCTGTTCTGTTTCTAGAGTTTCAGACGCAACGTTAGACACTTTTTTGGGTGCGCTTCTCGGACTAGTTCGTCCTTCAGGGCCATGGTGTTTCGGTGTGGCGAAGAGCTCGTTTGGCCGTGTCTGAGCACCGATTTTCTGTTCTGTTTCTAGGGTTTCAGAAGCAACGTTGGACATTTTTTGGGTGCGCTTCTCGGACTAGTTCGTCCTTCAGCGCCATGGTGTTTCGATGTGGCGATGGGTACGTTTTGGAGGCCTGCAGTATCAGTTGCAGCAGCAGGACTAGCAGCACCAGCAACAGCAGCAGCAGCATCGTTTGGCCGTGTCTGAGCACCGATTTTCTGTTCTGTTTCTAGAGTTTCAGACGCAACGTTAGACACTTTTTCGGTGCGCTTCTCGGACTAGTTCGTCCTTCAGGGCCATGGTGTTTCGGTGTGGCGAAGGGTACGTTTTGGAGGCTTGCAGTACCAGTTGCAGCAGCAGGACTAGCAGCACTAGCAGCAGCAGCAGCAGTAGCAGCAGCAGCAACAGCAGCAGCAGCAGCAGCACCGTTTAGCCGTGTCTGAGTGCCGATTTTCTGTTCTGTTTCTAGGGTTTCAGAAGCAACGTTAGACACTTTTTGGGTGCGCTTCTCGGACTAGTTCGTCCTTCAGGGCCATGGTGTTTCGGTGTGGCGAAGGGTACGTTTTGGAGGCCTGCAGCACCAGTTGCAGCAGCAGGACTAGCAGCACCAGCAGCAGCAGTAGCAGCAGCAGCAGCAATAGCAGCAGCAGCAGCACCGTTTGGCCGTATCTGAGTGCCGATTTTCTGTTCTGTTTCTAGGGTTTCAGAAGCAACGTTAGACACTTTTTGGGTGCGCTTCTCGGACTAGTTCGTCCTTCAGGGCCATGGTGTTTTGGTGTGGCGAAGGGTACGTTTTGGAGGCCTGCAGCACCAGTTGCAGCAGCAGAACTAGCAGCACCAGCAGCAGCAGCAATAGCAGCAGCAGCAGCAGCAGCACCGTTTGGCCGTGTCTGAGTGCCGATTTTCTGTTCTGTTTCTAGGGTTTCAGAAGCAACGTTAGACACTTTTTTGGGTGCGCTTCTCGGACTAGTTCGTCCTTCAGGGCCATGGTGTTTCGGTTTCGCGAAGGGTACGTTTTGGAGGCTTGCAGTACCAGTTGCAGCAGCAGGACTAGCACCACCAGCAACAGCAGCAGCAGCATCGTTTGGCCGTGTCTGAACACCGATTTTCTGTTCTGTTTCTAGTGTTTCAGACGCAACGTTAGACACTTTTTGGGTGCGCTTCTCGGACTAGTTCGTCCTTCAGGGCCATGGTGTTTCGGTGTGGCGAAGGGTACGTTTTGGCGGCTTGCAGCACCAGTTGCAGCAGCAGGACTAGCAGCACTAGCAGCAGCAGCAGCAGCAGCACCATTTGGCCGTGTCTGAGCGCCGACTTTCTGTTCTGTTTCTACGGTTCCAGAAGCAACGTTAGACACTTTTTTGGTGGACTTCGCGGACTAGTTCGTCCTTCCGGGCTATGGTGTTTCGGTGTGGCGAAGGGTGCGTTTTGGAGGCCTGCAGCAGTTGCAGCAACAGGACTAGCAGCACCAGCAGCAGCAGCAGCAGCACCGTTTAGCCGTGTCTGAGCGCCGATTTTCTGTTCTGTTTCTACGGTTTCAGAAGCAACGTTAGACACTTTTTTGGTAGGCTTCTCGGATTAGTTCGTGCTTCAGGGCCCTAGCACCAGTTGCAGCAGCAGGACTAGCAGCACCAGCAGCAGCAGCAGCAACAGCAGCAGCAGCAGCACCGTTTGGCCGTGTCTGAGCGCCGATTTAGGGTTTCAGAAGCAACGTTAGACCTTTTTTGAGTGCGCTTCTCGGACTAGTTCGTCCTTCAGGGCCATGGTGTTTCGGTGTGGCGAAGGGTACGTTTTGGAGGCCTGCAGCAGCAGTTGCAGCAGCAGGACTAGCAGCAGTTAGAAGTTTTTCGGTGGGATTCTCGGACTCGTTCAACGTTTGGCCGTGTCTTTGTGCAGTGGCAGCAGCAGCAGGTGCTCGGACTCGTTCGTCCTTCAGGAACGTTTGACCGTGCAAATCATCACTGATGGGTTTGCCATCTTTCTTGGCTGCAAGTCTTGCCAGCAGGGGTTTTGTGTTTTACTTGAATTCGTCCGGCTGCCGCCGATGACAATACGATAGTCCCGCATCTAGGGCATGCGTGTTTGTGGACGCGACCTGACACAACGCCAGCATGAACACGAAACTCATTGCCACACGCATGACGGTGATCAACCTGACCAGTTTTCACTGTGCTGGCCACAGCAACTGTACAGAATGGGCACGTGTACTGGTAGCGCTTAGACTCCTGATTGGCTACTGACACAGCCTGCAGCGGAAAATCTTTTCCACCAGGTTGCTGGTGCGCGCCTTGTTGTCGTGTAATCGTTTCCTGCGGGCGACGGAGTCGCTTGCGAAGAGGCTCCAGTCGGGCCACTGCTGACGTGGCACTAGTGCGTTTGTTTCTGTGCTCGGCGATTGCTTCCCATGTCTCACGGAGAATTTGTCGCTGGCGAAGCTTTTTGCGCAGAGGTTCCAAACGCTTTGTACTGGCTGCTGCGGCGCGTTTGCGCATGGTCGCCTGCGCTGTGATTGCATGGCATGCGTCGCATACTTGTGTGCCATTTTGGCTGGACAGTCGTTGCTTGCAAAATATAGCAAACTGCAACATTGGCTTTCGTTTCTTGCATGCTGCACAGACCCACTGTCCACGTGTCTTTGTTTGGCATTGCAAACATAGTCTTCGTTCTAGATTCCTTGCATTCCACGCGGCGGAGCTAAAAGATTCGCGCGTCTGCTTTCTCTGACACAGACAACATTGTTTCTTCGCGTCGCATGATAGACAAACGCGGTACATGCTCCACCGTGGATTGTGGTGCTTTGACGCAAAGTGTGTTACAGCGTGCCACAGGCCGCACTGCGTGCATCGATAAGGTGTTCCTGCCTCGCGCTTCTGCGTGGTGCATTCTTTGCAGACCCGATAGGTGTCTTGTTTCCACTGCGCTTTGGTGAATGCGTCTTTGCGCTTCATCTCCCCACATTCATGACATGGCCTCTCATCCAGATACTTCTTGCGCAACGCATCCCAGTCCACCGGCTCCTGCTTCCACACGTCAAGAAGAAGTTGCCTTCCGAGCGGCAGGCCCTCCTGAAAAGGAGCCAGCGGGAACGGTCGATAGATCAAAATCTTCTGCCGTGTGCGGCAGCGCGTCATCCCAATGTAAGCCGCTATTGGTTCTGCACCGATCATGTCCACAATCACGCCTGGCTCTATTGTGCTACCTTGCGCGCCATAGAACGTATCCGCGAAGTCGGGGGCAATGGGAAATTGATAACGCGTCACTTTCAATTGTGGGTTAGCGCGGCCTGCGTCCAAAAACCACAGTCCACTTTGCACGCTGACTGGGAAGACGTTTTCTTGATCGATTCCTGGGATAGTCCACCGTGTACGTGTTTCAAAACGCACAAAGATATACTCGGGAAGTTTGTTCCAAATGACTGCTCCGTCTGCCGATGCTGTTTCTGTTTCGACGCGAGACCACCCGCAGACTGTTCCATGGCATCCTTTCAAAATCTTGAACTCTTTTCGGTAGAGATGTTCTCGCGCTTGCACTGGCATACCCATGCACAGCGGAAGGACACCGTACCGGTTGCCGCAGTCAGCGTCGCTGCGCTGCAGCCATGTGAGCTTGTCGTGGGCGATGTCGGGCTTCTCGTGCAACGCTCGTGCTGAGACTTTGTCCGTAGCCACTGCATAGTAAATGACTTGCCAATTCTTCCGGGGTCGGCGGCAGGGGCGGCAGCCCTTAAATATACAAATGGGGACGTCGGTGAAAAAAAACGTACCAAGGGGACACTGATATCACGAAATAGCTGGAGCCACCAGCAATGGCAATGGCAGGTGGCTCCAGCAGCTCCAGCAGAGCTATCAGCAGCTCCACATTTTGAGGGCCCCGAGGGCCCCACACATCTCGCCATTTTTGAAGATCGCCTCTGTTGGACTCGTAAAACCTGGGCACAACGTGTGGCGCCATCAACGTGGCGCCGTGGCGCGTTTGTTTGGCGAGAGACGCTCCCATTGGCCCAGTCGTGTGTGCGACTGCTTGGCGTCTTGGAAGAAGCACAGCTTGTAGGTGTACCTCCACAGTCTCCACAGCATTCCAATCTCATCCAATCCCATCCAATCTCAACATCTCAACATCTCAACATTCAGTACTTCTCTCAGTTCTCTCAGCATTCCATTGTGGATTTGTTCAGCAGTTCCTCAGTTCTCAGGTCTCAGTCACTCGGAAGTCTTGTACTCGAGGCATTTGTCTCTTAGGCTGGCGAAGCCGAGTTTGTCCTGGCAGAGTGTCATACTCGCCGTCTGAAACCAGAGAAAAAACGATTTGAAATGACTTGAAATGACTTGTTCGGGCCGGAGACCAACCTGTCATGTATTGCTTGAATATCACATGCGCATACATGCGCATCAAATCGCATCAATCTCTCAATCGCATCTGCAAAGAGGGCGCCTCTGGCAGTTCGTCCAGTTCCTTCTTCAATCGAGACTTGGAATCCTAGTCGACTCTGAGAGTTGACTCAATTGACTTGATTCAGCATGATTCGACTGAGTGGCGACTTGCATCATGCTGAACCCAGTGGCACCAGTGGCACCAGTGGCACCAGTGGCAACCGATCAAACCCTTTGGGAATCATCAGATCCATCAAATCCATCAGATCCAGCTGCGCCTTGTGGCTCTTCACTTGGCTTTCCATCTCTTTCAGTTCCTTCTCCAGTGGATCTTCACCTTGGGGCAGGTGGGGCAGGTGGGGCAGGATGAGATGTGGAATGACATGGCTGAGACATGGCTGGACCGAATGTCATGCCAACAATCTCAACATATCTCAACCTAACCATCCGACGGGACCCAAACAAGTCCAGAATTTTGGGAGATTTCTGGGGAAAAAACGATTCTGGGAAAAATGCCTCCAGAATTTGCATCATAAGGCATCTCTAGCCATGATTTTGGAGGGTTCCCGTTCCATCTCCACATATCTCCACTGAGCCCGCAGCTGGGGTTCTCCGATTCAGGAGGTGCTGGTGCTGGAGCCGTAGGGCTTTCCACGCCATCGTCCTGGACAAGATGCGACATGAAACCGACATGAGCATGTCACTGGATGTCACTGGATGTCACTGGATGTCACTGGGTCATGTAGCCATGAAACCGTTCAGAAACCGCAATCATGGCATATCATGGCTACATGTGGTCTCATGTGGTCTGGCAAATGGACATAGATGTCATAGATCTCAAACAAACTTTCAAGTAAACACATGGTAAATACATGGGAAGCAACGAACGTCTTCAACATGTTTTGTTGTACCTTGGAGAGTTCACGTTGGAAAGACGTTGATAGCATGGAACAGTCGCCCAAGTCTCCTCATCTGCCATGTCTTCCTGGCAAACCAAAAACGCTTCAAGCGGCGCCAAGCTGCATCTCAAGCTGCAAGGGTGTGCCTCCATGGCGGCATCCGCCCCTTCCATCCACCTGCCATGGAAATTCACCAAGCTGCGGAAATGTTTGCTATAAATTCACCAAATTGAAATGCATGGCTGCATGGCCCATGTCACAGCCCAAAGCATGTCGGATTGGCTTGGCGTATTCGGACACCACTTTCTTGGTCGTGGTGGTGGTGGTCCCATCTCCTGGAACAAGGTGAGGGCGGTGAGGGCGGTGAGGGTGAGGAAAACGGACGGTGCCATCCGTGACGTCCTAAAAGCGTGTCCTTTTGACCCGTCGCAGGAAACCGAAACCTGTCCTGCGACTAAGTCTTTCTCCAAAGAAGCCACCTTCTCCTGCGAGAACACAAGAAATGAGCTGCACATTCAAAAAAGGCAACTCCAAATGTCAGACACATGAAAAGATATTAAAGTATTACTACAGTTACTACAGTATGGCACAAATCTGCCAGTCCTCGAGCTCTTTCACTCTTTGTCTGAGCCTGGGCAGTGATCATCACCACATCCCAGCTTGTCCCAGGCTGTGGTCGTCACAGATCCGGGATCCACTGTGATTTTGCCACATTGTGCCACATCACTGGCACCTGGGGAGCTCAGTTTTGCATTCTGCTTGCATTTTCTCTGCATCTGCTTCCTCCTGCGACAAAGACTGGCACACATTGGCACACCTTCAATCCACCAAAATGAATTCTTCATCGACAACTCATTCAAGATATTCAAACATATTCAAACCGGATCATGTCTCATGTTCAATGGATAATCAATGATAATCATCCTAGATATTCATCGACGTTCATCCTGGGAATCTGTTGGCTGTCACTTGGCATGAAAAAACTGAATATTCCTGTGAATCTCCATGGGTCATGGTTTCTCATTGATAGATTATAGATTATAGTAAATTATAGATTATATAATTGGAACATGTTGGAACCGTATTAGGAACCGCCGAATGTTTCAGAATCCGTATTCCTCCGCAACATCATGGTCACATATGGTCACTGATGCCTCTTGCCGATGGCGAAGCATTGAATAAAATCCGCCCACACCGCTTTGGCGGTGAAGGCGTGCTTATTGGGGGGCAACAGCAACACTAAATGCTCAATGACATTTGTTAATATAGCAGTCGCTATATCAGCTTTAGCTGGGGGGGGGGGCCCAAAAACGGTTTCGCACCGAGACCAGAATACGGTGGTGTTTTCGACATTTTTCGAGGATTTTTGGGTGTCTGAGCGCAAGAGGGTATTGAAATTGAATTTTGGGTCATTTTGGTAGCTTTCCGGCAATGGAAAAACGGCTAAAAATGAAAAAAACATTGTGCATAGCAAGATTTTGCATGGTTTTTGGATGCCAGAGCATTGAAAACACTGCAAAAACAAGTGTTTTGGACTGACGTTATAGCAAAAAACGTGTAAATTACCGTATGCTTGACTGGAAACATTACAAAAACACTGTCAAAAGCAATGTTTTGGAAGGATTTACTGCCTTTATGGCAAAAAACGTGTAAATTACCGTCTGTTTGACTGGAAACATTGGAAAAACACTGTCAAAAACAATGTTTTGGAAGGATTTCTTATATATATGTTGGAGTTGGCTACCGGCATTGGCACATGGAAAAATTGAAGAAAACACTGTAAATAGCGGTATTTTCAACGGTTGGGGAGATAAGGGAATTGGAAGCATTGTCGAACATGATGTTTTCGACCGGTTTTATGGCGACAAAAGTGTAAAGTACCGTGCTTTGAAGCGCTTTGAAGGAAACCATTGCAAAAACATGGAAACACATTCAAAGAACACGGGATTTGGGGGACTATCTAGGCGTCGTTGTCTAGCTATTTGAAATTCCGCAGCTTGGAGAGCCTCCAAGGGAGGGAAAGTGAAAATTCCATAGCTTGGGAAGCTGTCACGGCGGGGAAAAGTGAAAATTCCCTAGCTTGGGAAGCCCCCACGGGGGGGAAAAGTGAAAATTCCCTAGCTTGGGGAGCCCCCACGGGGGGGAAAAGTGAAAATTCCCTAGCTTGGGGAGCCCCCACGGGGGGGAAAAGTGAAAATTCCCTAGCTTGGGGAGCCCCCACGCGGGGGAAAAGTGCTAGGGGGGGAAAAGTGAAAATTCCCTAGCTTGGGGAGCCCCCACGGGGGGGAAAAGTGAAAATTCCCTAGCTTGGGGAGCCCCCACGGGGGAGGAAAGTGAAAATTCTTAGCTTGGGGAGCCCCCACGGGGGAAAACCACCCTTAGCCCCTCTCACGGACCGAAATAAACCTGCGGTGTGGGCGGCCACCCCACGCGAAGCGGGGTGAATATAATAAAATATTATAAATTTAAATAATATCATTTATGAATCGATTGATGGACGAAAAGGTCAATTCACTCATGGGATTCTTAATTAACTTGATTCAGAACGTCGGAACGTGCTCAGTTTTTCCCTGTGCTCATCCCCGATGGATCATGATGGATCCACGGATCCACAGCTTCGATCAGCTTCGATCAGCTTCGTGATTCCAGGCCTTCTTCTGCCTGAGCTCCGTGAGCTTCGTCTCCAAGGCCGGCAGCTCTTGGTCGATCCTGTCGAAAGACGAAGCGAGACAAAACGAGACAAAACGAGGCGAAACGAGGCGAAACGAGATCCACCGAAACGAAGGGCCGGGTTTGGGGGGAAAGAACTGTTGATCTCGTTGAAGCTGAGGTTGGGGGACTTTGGGGGTGAAGCGGGTAATCAAAGGGGTAATCATTAAAATGTCAGAGAAAGCGTTCATGACCCTTGGCTATCTTGGCTTGAAGCCTTGGAAGATGGGAGAACTCTATTCGGTTCGAAGTTGCTGAAGTTTTCGGTGTGAGGAAACTGATTCACTCTGAAAGTTTTGTCATGAATTCCAAAGTGTATTGCAGAGGTTTGAATTCGGCACAGGTCTCCTGTGAATCTCAGCTTCTTTCTCCTGCTTCTGTTGCTTCGCCTTCGACACAAAAAAAACATCCGCGATCCAAAGTGCCATCTGAAACAACCATGATCAATCTGTGATTCTGTGATGGCAAGGTTGAAACCAAGCTCCGGCTGCTCAACATGGTCTGCTCGACATGGTCGATTTCAGGTGCAGTTGAACTGTCTTTTCTTGTGTTTGACCATTTTCGACGTTTTTGACGTTGCCAGTGTTGCCTGGGAAATTGTCTCGGTCTTCACCTGAAGACCAGCACCTCGATGCAAACTGCGCAAAAGTGTTCTCCTCGGTCCCCTTTGACTCTACGAAAAATTATCCCATGAAAAGCCAATGAAAAGCCAATGAAAAGCGAAAAAGGTCCAGGCAAAAATGACGACTTGAAAGATCTTGAATGAGATCCATGCGCAAATCCTTCAACTTTGCTTCTCTTTCAGCGCGAGATCTTTCGCCTTCCACTGGCTGAAACGGCCATCAAAACAAGTGGAAACATACTCTCAGTACATCTCAGTAGCAAGTTTTGATAAGTTTTAGGCAAGTTTTGTTCAGTCTGGGCTCAAATCCCTTCCAGTGGTCAGACTGATTTCAGCAGAGCGTTTGAGGGTTGGTTGCATCCGTTCGTTCATGATACATGTTTGGTGAGCTCTCTTCGCTCCATTTGCTGGATACTCAGATGTGGAAGTTTGGATGGTGCACAGTACCATGCCAGCGATCTTGTCATTGCTTGGGAGACTGCCCTGTTTGTCTTTGTTCAAACTTCCTCTGCGCATTGCTTTGGAAAACATCTTGGCGGAATGCCAGTGAGCTCCATGTCCAAAAGCTCAGGCAAAAAAAAATTGGTGGCTACATTTCTAGCGTTGTCAATCCAGAATGCTGTGCGGATTGTTCAAGCACTTGCAAGACAACGGCGTCGCGCGGTAGGCAACGATCCAGCACTGCGTGGATGATAGCTCCCTTCATCGTGGGCAGAAGTGGTTGGCAATTTGATGCAATTTGCGATATTTCGGCTGGTTATGCGAGCTTTTGGACTTGAGAATGGCTGGCTTCGCGCCGCATTGTTTCTGGTTGGCATGCAGCTTCGACGGCGGACATGGAAAATGAATGAAAATGTCTTATGCGCCTGCTGGACATGCTTGGCACAGCACAGCTTGCAGTTTTCTTGCACCTGCCAAAGTGGTAGGCCCAATGGCTTGAGCCTCGAGGTGGCCCCGGCAGCCTTTTCCTCCTCCTGTTTTATCTTGTAATTTCTTTGGGCGCAAGTGCTCAAATTCAAGTTGTGTACAGGCTGACGAACAGCCTATAGCCGGATGTTAATGCTTTTCCGGTAGCTGCATGGAAGTCGGCAGAAGGTGAACTCCATCTGTCCTCTTTGAGGTGCATCTGCTGTTGATACCGCATTCCTGGATGCATCGCAGAATGCGGTTCTTCGTTTTGGGCCGACAACCGTTTGCCCCATGATTCTTAGCCCGTGCGGCTCTGACGAAAGTCCGAGCCCATGGAAGTAGGGAGAACCGATCCTCTCTGCAGAGCGCAATAATAGGCAAGTTTTGTTCAACATATGTCACATTGTGTCACATTGTGTCACATTGTGTCACCATGTTTCGCCCTGTTTTGCCTTCTTCCTTGCAGGTGTTGCTGCACTTTGCGGCTGTGACCTGATGGTCCTGGTGGGTCGAGTGAAATATGTGAAATGTGAGCACAAAATAGATCAAAATAGCACACAAAAGGCAGTCGATGCACAAAGGCAGTCGATGCACAAAGGCAGTCGATGCACAAAGGCAGTCGATAGCAGTCGGGCGCTCTCATTCGTGATCGTAAGTGACGTAAGTGACGTCCTCATCAGAACCGTCGCAGCAGTCGCAAATTCCATCACCAACTCGGGAGGCGTAGACCTCCGAAGTTGAAAAAGTGAGAGGTTTGAATGTGAAACTTGAGCAGAAAAAATCAACTGAGATGTTTCTTCACATTCTCCGTCTGAGTTGATAATGGCTGTGCAATGCTGTGTATAGTCTGATAGTTGCACAATGATACCAGACATGCAGCATAGCAATATGTAGCACACTGTACAGATCACATAGCACAGCAAATCAGTATGTAACATGTGAATACATGTGAAATAGATTCAAAGAGTCCATAGTCCATAGGATTAAAATCCATGAATGAAAATAGATATGAAAAACATTGAAAAACAATAAATGAAACTTATGGAAACCAATGGATAATAGATGGACAATAGATGGCATCTGTTGTACGTCTCACGTTGTTTCGCATCTGAGGCGGGCACCAATCGAGGTGTGCTTCCCACATTGGCACAGTGGAACAACGTGCCCTAGCGCTTCGTCACAAGGCACATGTCTCTGCAACCGTCGACATCTGATGACATCTGATGACATCTGTGACATTTCGGAGACAACGAGACAACTGGTCCCATTGGTCCCCACCTCTTGGCCGGAACATGCTCCGGTGCCTGCCACATCTCCACAGGCAAAACATGGCAAAACATGCCATCACAGGATACCATCAAAATATATCAAAATACATCATGTCGGTGTCGGTTGGATCCTTTGAATTTGCTGCGAAAAGATAGCTCGAAAGAGCAAAAAGTCACGGAGTCTTCATTTGACTCAAAAAGTCAGTTTTTTTCCGCCGGTTTCTTTCTTCATTTTGTTCCCAGCTGAAAAAAAGAAAGCAAAGGCCCTTCCAAAAAGCCCAACTGCAGACCACATCGCTTCGTCATCGGTGCCTGGTTCGTCCGAGCCATCCTCGCAGTCGCAATAGTTGTCATTGATGGCGGAAGCTGCTACCTGCCGATCCAAGATGCAAACTGATCAGTTCAAACCACTGCAAACCTGAAAATCTGCTCAAAACTCAACAACTCAAACTGCAAAATCTTCACCTCAACATATTTAAGCCCTTTAAGAAGCACCTCCTGGCCGTTGCAACGCAAACCTTGAGCGTATTGGCCCTGCATCTCCGGGGCGACACCTGACTTCATCAACTCACATGGTTTGGCCGTTTGGCATGACGAGATATGACGAGTGGGTTGGGGGTGGTGACATGTGGTGACCTTGGTGCTTGGTGCTTAGTGCTTTCTGTGATGAAAAACAGCGTCGAAGTTTCAGGTGGGACTCAAAAAAACCACCTCGAGGTGTTGCTTCAAAAAGAAATGGGTCAATCAAAGACTGAAACGAGGCAGCTGAATCAGAAAATGAATAAATACTAGCATGCACAAGGAAAAATTACTATCTTTTTGGAGGGGTATCAACTTGATTGACTGGTTTTAGAGACCCAAACACAAATAACACTAACATATTTAACTTTGAGTGGATAAGCATAAAGATCATAAAGTTGTAACGGGGAAAACGGGCAGAATCTGGGAATGCCCCCATGTTTTAGCCACTCAACCTGAGCCGTTTCCATCCGTTTCCCATCTTCCCATTTGCCTCGGATCATCGCAGCAGGAGAGCCTGGCGAACATATCCAAGACGATGAAAAATGTTTTGAAATGTGATGTTGTTTCATGTTGTTTCATGTTGTTTCATGTTGTTTCATGTTGTTTCAATAGTTTTCCTATGTTTTCCTGGCACATGGAATGTTTCACTGGACATGTGAAACTGTGAAGCCATTGCCTAAATGAATACAATGACGTGATAACTGAAAATAGATCGACAAAGCTTCACTTGAAAGTCTACTCCAGAATGCCGCACGGCATCGCATGGCACATCTTGGCTTCCGGCCAACCAGTGCTCCAAGCAGCGTCCATCGCATCTTGCTCCGGAGCCCGGGACCGCAGTCCGTGGGGCCGGTTCCTACCAGTTCCTACCAGTTCCTACCAGTTCCTACCAGTTCCTACCAGTTCCTACCAGTTCCTACTGCCCTACTTGAGACCAAATGGATCACGAAATGGATCACGAAATGGATCCGTGTGCAGGGCACTTCATGACAACTTGGCAACGGCAGCATGTCCTTTGTGTCCAAGAGATGGCAGATGGCAAGAGATGGCATTTGAGTCCCAAATGTTTTCGGCGCTGTCGTGTTTCAAGCGACGAAATGAAGCGATGAAGCGATGAAGCGATGAACGTTAACAGGTGCTAAACTTAAGGCACTAAGCAGCGAAGCCATGTCAAAGCACGGTGTCGCACAGGCACCGTGGCGCACCGTGGTCACGGAGCTTCAAACTTCAGGTGTAAACGATCACTTCAGGCACTTAGATCTGGCACAGCGACAAAGCGGATCAAAGCGGGATGGGGGTGGTGAAAGCGACATGTACATTTCGGTGGTGAAAGCAACAAGTTTTTTTCACATCCGCAGAGTTTCCACTTCCCCAACATTCTTTAGCATTCCCTAGCATTCCATCTGTTCAGTTTGAACGTGGGCCAAACTTCCGAACAGCTGATGCCGCTCTATGAAGGCTGGGATCATGTCATGTCAGCATGTGCCGTTGCCAGTTTCGGCACCTCGCGGCTCATGAGGGTCGAAAGGGTAATGGTCCCTTGCCTTCGACAAAACGACGTTTCCGACTTCCCAAAAGATCAGCACAGCTTCGATTTGGCTCTCAAGGTTGGAGGTTTGGTTTTGGACCCTCAAAAATCGGGAATCTGAAGACTTCCCCATGAAGGTTTCAAGGCTCTCAGGACCCAACAGGATGCCCCTGTCTGTCACGTAGACGACACCATCACTCTCAGCCTCGAAAGCGAAATCCCAGCAATAAGTTTCACATAGTTTCACCATGTTTCACCATGTTTCACCATGTTTCACCTGAGAACATGAGAACACCAGAGACTCTGCTCAAGGCTCCTGACCACTTTCATGAGAAGATACACCTGCCGAGTTCAGAGGGAAAAGTCGAAGTGAAGTGGTCAGAGTAGTCGAAGTGAAGTCAAATCCAAACGGAGGCGTGGCAAACTCCACAACTATCCACACATCAAAAACTGGTCCAGAACAAGTCCAGGTGAACATAGGTGAATCTGGACCACCAAACATCAATCATCAGCGGCACACTGAGTTTAACTTGCCAGTCATGACTAGCCATGAGTTCATTCAGAACTGGACAGGGCTTGACCGGGCTTGACCAGGGACGTTCAGTGACACCATGTGACACCATGTGACACCAGGCCCCCAGACATCCTTCACGGTGCAGTCCGGTGACACCCGCACCGGGCTTCCCTCCACCAGAGGCTCGCCGCCTGTGCGGAACCATTGCAGACACGAACATCGGACAGTGATGGACAGTGCATCAATCAATTCATATCAATTCAATGCATCAATGAATAAACAAATATGAAAAGAACTTAAAAGAACTTCAAAGAACACGGAAACATATGAAATCATCATAAAATCAGGAAGAAAATAGTGTGGTTTTCCATTATTCACGTCCTGAAATCTTGCATCGTACGTACTGCAGAACTCTTGTGAAGTGACAGGCTACACAAAGTGGCCAAAGATCTACAGGAAGTTCAACCCAGCTGCGCGGTGTCAGGTTTGGTGATACCAAGGATTACCAAGCACAACCAGTCTTCCACCAGTCTTCCACCAGTCTTCCACCAGTCTTCCTGCTAAGTTCCGCACCATCTGGTGGGGCTTGAAATTCGGGATTCATCAAATCCTGGCTGCGCTAGCCAGTTTTTCATCAATGTGGTGTTTTTCTGGACAGTTCCTCAATGTTAGTTTGATCAATCCAACCCTCACATATCACACACATTTCAAAAAAGGATTCAACTTCAACCCAGATATTGAGATAACCCACCTTCAACTCATTTGGATTGGTTCCAAAATGGGGCATACATCTGATATCCCCTTTTTATGGTCATTTGACAGAAGATATTATGATAAACCATTGTAAAAGTTGCATACCCACATCATTGTTGGCTAAACCCTATATGGATTTATATGGTATCATAGTTGTTGGTGTTCAATATCATGATATTCTCATTGTACCTTAGAATCCCCACGTCGTCCGAAACGTCATGGCGAATTCGGGACACACGCCAAGGGGCGATTTCGCGGTCGGGGGTCGCTGCATGGGGATCCAACTTCTTCAGCAAAAGCCTGGCTGAAACTCAGTGCCATCAAGTGGTCGGAATGAAACACATTCTTGACATTTCTTGACATTAAACACATTCTTCTCTATTCCGTCTATTCCTCCACGAGAGAAATCCTGGGTCTTCCGGGAGATGGTTCATTGACGCACCTTCTGACAAGCGCTTTTACAACATTTTACAACGTATCAAATATTCGAAATATTCGAAACCGCTTGCAGTTTGATAAGTTTGATAAGTTTGATACGTCAATCGTCTCTCCTTCGTCTCTCCTGGTGTCCACATTGGCTCCACTTGGGCTCCACTTTGGCTCCCGGCTCGACTTGTCTTCGGGTCATCGTCCCCTCCAGAAGGCCCTGGTTGCTGGTGTCCCAGTCCAGTGGCCTGACCTGATGAATTCATGTTGTTTCGACACGTGAGGAAAGAGATGTGAATCTATTCAGATGATATAACTAATATAATATATATATATAACTATAAGATACTATAAGTACGTTTTTCCAAACAAGTCTGTTGTGAGTTTTGGACGTATGGAACTGGAAAACCATTGAAAACTATGCTGGGCAGGTTCAGTTGTGCATTCAAAGATTGCTGAGGCTCGGACAATCGGAAAGAAATCGTGGTCGCTATTTGACACCCTGAAATTCGCAATCGACTCAGAATCTACCGGCACTGGGAACGACCTTGTTTGAACCAGAAATTCTTTGCATTGGATGGTGCTGTACTTGGCCGCTTGGCCGCTGACACATGGAGAAGGTGCCGAAGGGTAACAATCTGTGGCAAGCCTAAACCACGCAGAATCCGGTATGCAGCAAGTCTGAAGAACTTGGACGAGTTGGACGAGTTGGACGAGTCACAAAACAAATTTTAAATATTTTCAAATGAAAGAATAGTTTGCATTAGTTTGCACTGTTTGCACTGTTTGCACTGTTTGCACTTGTCCCTCGGCGATATTCGGCGATATTCGGCAATCAGGTCTGATCATGCGACGTTGCCATGCATGAAATGTTGCCAAAATGTGAATGCGTTCTGAGCATGGCACATTCACTGAGATCTACCACATGCATGACTTTCATCACGGGCTCAATGGCTTTGTCCTGCGCAAGGAATGGTATCTCCGGGGATTCAGAAGGCTTACAAACTGCATAGCTGGATGAAGACTCATAGCTTTAGCATGCTTTAGCTATGCCTGGCTCTTAGATGAACTATGATGAACATGATGAACTTCTATAAGCATTAGCTATCTTGAACTTGAATATTTGTTTGGATTTGTTTGGATTTGTCATATTTTGAATATGTTGGCTATGCCAAGCTTAGCTATGCCATTATGCTTAGCTGCTTGGCTCGGAGCGTCGGAGCGTCGGAGCGGGGTCCGTGAAGGTGATGGCCGGGATGCCCCCGAGATTTCGCGTCTCAGCGTGGTGTTGAACATGTTGAACTGTGAAAATTGTGAAAATTGTGAAATAGATCGGAAAATATCGGAAACAACAAATGAGTTGAACAAGATCTGAAATTGTGAATAAGCAGAACATTAACTAACGAGATCAACAAATCGTTCATTCTCGCAGAGCTTTCAGTCCCAGATTTGCTGAGGAACACTTGAAATGTGCCAAAATGACTTGAAAGTCTGTTCCAAATTCGACACTGAACCGTGAACTTTGTTAATTTTTTTTCGCCCTAGAGTTCGATTCGCTCCATCTTAGGGAGCCACGGCCAAGTTGGCATCAAAGAAAGGCAAGGAAACCTCACAGTTGCCAAGGGCCACACCCGAAACATATCTAATCACAATATCTGAACCACTCGAGATGTTCATGCTGGTGTACAGCAGGCAGTCTCATCAAAGCTGCAGCTTGAGATTGATGCCATGATTGGGATTGCTCTTCCCAGTTAGGATTGACCTGACCTTCTTGAGCTACATCGAGCTACAGAAGTCTATAAGATCTCTAGGTAATCAGCGGCAGTCGGCAGCCCTGCCTTGTTCGCCACGAAGATGGCGGCCTCGATTTGTCCGTCGGTGTGGAATCTTTGAGATGCCAGCCATCAGCTTGGAAGACACATGAAGACACCAAGGCAAAGGTCATCTAAGGATTAATCAAAATCAATCAAAGTCTACAAACTTCAATGTTTCACTGCTGTTTTGACGAAGAGTTCACCAAGGTTTTTTCCCAGAATAAATATCATAAATCCACACGTCCTTTAAATCTTGTCAAAGTATTCAAAGTTGAGCTCGGGATTCCGAGCCAAGGCCGAACTACAGAGAGGCAACACAGAGTTGGGCAACGCCAAGACCTGGTCGCAGGTCGCAGGGCAAAATGGATGGCAAATGGAAGATGACTCTGAGATGACCTTCAGATTGGGTTCCCAATTTAGTTTCTCTTCCAGAATCGGAAACAAAATATCCTGTATAAACTGGGACATAATCTTCTGGGATGGAAAACTAATGAAGGAAGCGATTGCTACCGGGCGGCTACCGGCATTTCATTCCAGTTTCAGCATTCGGAGCCTCAAAGACGGTGATGGCCATGGCAAAGGCGCGCGTCACCGCGGCGCAAAAGGCCGAAGCGCCCACGATGGCACAGCCTCACCGGTTCACCAGTTGCGTTGTGGAAACCTAGAGAAGTTGACCACCGAATTCTGATGAAACATGGATAAACCTGGGGTGTGTCAACAATCATCAGCAGAAACTTGGACATAATTTATCTTGTGCTGCGATCTTTCGAGAATTGCTGGGCTTCAAAACGCGCAAAGAAAGCTCCTTTTTGATCTTCTGTTGGCGGCTGGCCTTAGGAAGCAGTGGCAGAAATGGATGTGGTGGCAGAAAATCTACATGAACCAATCGCAGCCAATCTGATTGAAAATAACCAAATCTTCAGATTGATCTTCCTCCCACTTCAACTTTTCAAGTGCCTTGTTCAACAAGGTCAGCATCTAAGGTCCTTGCCATCCTTGGTGAGGATCATTGATACAAACCACTCAGGCCTTGGTACATCTTGGTACCCGCTGCTCCCGTCACTGCGTCATCCCCGGTCATCCCCGGTCATCCCCGACGAGGAATGGCCGTGGTACCACTCAGCTGGCCCCTGGGTTTCCCCTCAGCTGCGGGCAAAAGGACATGGCCAAAGACGCGGCCCAGCAATCCTCCGATGATCATGGTGGGAGCCACCACCTCAACGCTTCAACAACGCTTCAACAGGCTTAGGACCGGTTAGGATCGGTTAGGATTGTCAGATATTGTCAGAGAGGTCTTCCAAGAAGTTGCAATCAACAAACAAAATCACTTCACCCACTTCAATCTGACTAGGTGAGCCAGAGCTTGCTGTAAGCTTGCTGTAAGCTTGCTACTCCTGCAGGGATAGCTGACGACAGCGCCTCAGGTGTACGGATACGACGGATACGATGGATACGACTCCCCATCGCCGTCCGCCGTGTACGCCACCGTCCCAATTTGAGGCACGCGCAAGGGTCGTCATTGTCCACTTCATCAGAAAACCTCAGTCAACCAAGTCAACAGAGTTCCACCAAGTTCCACCAAGTTCCACCAACGCCCACAAGTTCAAGTTCAACCAACAGCTTCGTCAATGATCCAAACTTCTGAACTGTCCAAACCCGAATTCCCACATTTTGTCACGCCAAGATGCACAGGGTCATCGTTCCGGCCACTCCGGCCCAGGGAAGAACCTCAAACTCGACATGCCAACGTCAAAAACTTCAGGAAATTTGGACGTTACAGACATTCTAACTTCGCAGTCTAATGTCTTGTGACACTTGTGAATCATAATCCGAAATGTTGGAATATCTTGGAAAATTTTTGAACGTGGCATGAAAAGTTGCGGCATGAAGTCGATTCTGGCATGTCGACATCCTCACCCGCTGATTTGCACTGATTTGCGTGTCAGAGATGCACAAGATACAACATGACTCTTTCTAGGTAGAAAGTTGTTTCCTTGAATGGGACACCAATTTTTGTTCTTTTTAAGCATCTGTCTTCAACACGGTTTGCAAGTGTTTTTCTTCATTCATCTGGTTACATCATTGTTCTTGATATATTGTATATATATATATAATCCAATGCTGCAATATATATATCCAATGCTGTTTCAACAAAACTCTCCGGCATCATTTTCCAGATGCATTTACCCGTGTCGTTCTGTTCTTGCTTTCAGGAAGGGAAAGAAACTAGTTGCCAACTGAGATCTCTCTATAGAACTTTCGCGATCATATTGTATGAGATATAGAAGGGTATGCTCAAATTGCCATCGCCAAAAATGGAAGACGGGGATCGTTACGTTCTACACCAAAAATCTCTTCAAAATAACTGATATGTGATGAATATGAAAAGATTCAGGCAGCTCTGTTGTATCAACGTTGCGCTGATGCTGTGCGCGCTCACTCTTTTGTACTGTTGGCAAACAGTCTCAGGCTCAAGGCCTGTTGATCCATAATGTTGACAGTGACATCCAGCAGCTGTTGAACTGTACACGAATTGTGTGTTGGACAATGTTGTTACTTAACACGGCCCCTCAATTTGTTGGAGCTTCCAACACATTGCACAAAACAAACATTGTTGAAACGCAATCACATTATGTTGATACTATTTGATTAGGTGTTGATCTCTGTACAGGGCTGACGGCTTGTAGTTTTACATCTTTTGCCCAGCCGCAGATGTTGATCAAACACTCATCTAATTTTGTGCATTCCCGGCTCTCACGTTTGAACCTCTTGTTGCGCAGGGATCTGCTGAAGATCCAAAGACTGTTGGTTGAGGTGCCAGTCTCACCTGTTGGATGACTTCTCATCCTTCCATCTGTTGATCATCATCGGTTGTTGCGCAATTCTCACGCAGCAACTGTTGGATCTCATCCTTGGGCATGGTGAGTGGCAAATTGTTGAGGTGCCACACATTGATCTCTTTGAAATGGTTGTTGATCATCTCTTCTGTCCACTGTTGCTCGACCCATGTTGCCAGGTGGCTGTTGCCTCTGATCCTCTCAATTGTTTTGGCTCCTCGGAACAGGATGTTGCCTGTGTTGATGCCGCTGGTGATGCTGGTGCTGTGCATCTGTTGCAGCATCTCCATCACAGCATCCCTGGTGGATGTTGTGAAATGATGGAGCATCTGTGCTCCACCATACTCCAAGCATTGGAGTACGAGCCTCTTCTCCTGTTGTGTTGATTCCACGTTCATGTTGGACACTTGGACCGGGATGTTGTAGGCCCACATCCAGTCCTTGTTCCGCTGGAAATAGTTGCAGATCTGTTGAAGCATGGTGTTGCCTCCATCTGCATTGATTTCCCAGATCTGTTGGGATGCCAGCTCAAACGTTGTGAAACGAAGGTTGCATCCACTCTCGATCTGTTGCTGTGGATACATGTAGCCCCTGTTGAACATGTTGATCACCCGGTTGCCTGTTCGAAGACGATGTTGTTGAACATCCTCAACCCAGGTAATCATGAGCCACTTTGTTGGGAGCGCCAGTTGTGGCGAAGGCGCTAAGATCAACTTGTCGAAGTTGGGCATACGTTGGCTGCCCGAAAGTGCTGGGATCACCGTGTTGGTTGACTCCCCAGCCGTCTCTGTTGGTTTGATGGAGTTGTACTCCTCGATGGTCATCACAATCCACCATCGTGGAGTGTTGTTGTCCACACTTGTTGCGTGGAGATCATCTGGGTGAAGGTGTTGAGGGTTGGCCACGTCGCTGTTGAGGATCTCAACGGCGTTGAGGCCCAAATCCTTCAACGTGACCGGCAGCTTCATCGGGAGTGTTGGACTCCTCACACCTGCCATGTTGACCAGAGACATCGTGTTGATACTCCGGTTGTGATCCTTCACTGTGGATCTTCCAGCGGTTGGAAAACGGCTGCACACGAAGCGGCGTAATCACGTGTTGTCAACAAAATGTTGACATCCTGCAAAAAACGACAAAACAAATTCATGTTGCAATCCGACATGTTGTCTAAGACAGTCATGTTCCAGAAAGAAAATCACAGAGTTGAATCTCCATGTTGGCCACCATGTTGAAACTTCCCAGTAAATGAATATGTTGATATACTCCATGTTGAAGTAGATAACCTAGATGTAGAACATGTTGTCAACCTTTGTTGACACCATGGCTCAAAAAAGAAATGTATGTTTGTGTGTGTATGCCACGCACGATGTTCGCACGTTGTACACGCGTCCGCACGTTAACACGCTAGCTGCAGTGAAACTGTTGTTGTTGTTGGTTGTTGCTGTCTGTTCAGTGATGCTGGGTGCTGATGCCAACATCACTGATGTGACGCAAAAGCGTCTCTGTTGCAAGAGCTCCGATGTCCATTGGAGCTGGGCCTCCTCCTAAATTGCTGCTGACTGCTGAAGACGACTATTGTTGGAGTCTTGAGAACGCTGTAGTGGTCCTATAGTACTCCATGATTGTTGTCCTCACCTCAGCATATGTTGGTGTTGCACTGGCATTAAGGTATAAGTGTTGTTGGAGTGGTCCTGTTGTCTCATTCATGAGAATTGCTATCTTCACTTGGTCTGGTAGTTGGGCGTTGTTGTCATGCTCGTAGCGTGCAGCTCAAATTCCCATGTTGAGAAGGACTCCTCAAAGTTGTTGGTGTCGAACTTGGGTTTGAGTAGCTTTGTGAGGTAGCCTATGCTTCTTGTTCCAACAGGTGTTGCAAACCTGTTGCACAGTTGCCTGTAGACTTCCAAGCCCATTGCGTCTTGGTATTGTCTGCATAGTGTTGCTGCTGGGCCGCTGGTGATGTTAATGAGTATGTATTTGAGGTTGTTGCACAGTTGTGTCCAATTTTCTCCTTCCTCTATTGTTGTTGCTGCACCAAGCAGCTCTGCATCTGTGAGCACTGTTGTTGCTCTTTCTGCTCTTGAAAGCAGCTGTGGAAAGATGCTGTCCTGTAGGCCCATGTATGCTGAGAACTTGTACTTCCACTCTTCGAATGTTGCATAGTTGCCATCATATGTTGGAGGTTTCAACTTCAGCCTGTGTGTTGATGCTAGGGCTTCTGCTTGTGTTTCTCCTGCTGTTGGCGATCCTATCTCATATGCCGTTGCCATCCTTGTTGTAGAGAGTCCCCCACACTGTATAGTTGGGATCAAGCCCTCTTGCTGCGCATCTTGTTGTTGAGTTTGTTTCTTTTTACCTTGTCGTTGCAGGGGTGGTGTGTTGGGCTGCTACCCTTTGTTGCTCCAGCTGTTGTTGAGAGTCCCCCAGTGTTCTGGGATCAAGCCCTCTGCGTGTTGGAGCTCACCTGGATGCTTCCAGGATCACTGCTCCGCTACCATGAAAAGATTCAGGCAGCTCTGTTGTATCAATGTTGCAGCTGATGCTGTGCGCGCTCACTCTTTTGTACTGTTGGCAAACAGTCTCAGGCTCAAGGCCTGTTGATCCATAATGTTGACAGTGACATCCAGCAGCTGTTGAACTGTACACGAATTGTGTGTTGGACAATGTTGTTACTTAACAGAATATATATATATGATATAAGTTATAAGTGCCAATATCTGCAGTTTTGTCTCTGGATCTTTTAAAGTTTGACACATGCGCTGTTTCTGCTTTTGCGCACCCAGGTGTCGTTCTCGAGCAGCGTCTTGTCGAAGATCGTGGAGATCATCAGCGGCTGCGGCTTGCCGCCCAGCAGAGGCAGCGCGGACGCCAGGACCGTGTTCACCGTGACCACCTCAGCGCCGTCACACGGCCTTGAAACAAAACAAGGGAAAAAACGAGGGAAAAGACGAGGGTCACAAGATGTACCAAGATGTACCGAGAAGATGACAGATGGTCAAGAGGGTCAAGACTTGTCAGGAGATGTCAAAGGTTGAGAGGTTGCACAGATTTCGTTCAAAATGCATCAACATCATTCAACATCTGCTCATAATTTGCTGATCAATTTGATCTGATTTGCAAATCATTGACTTCTCAGAAATGCCGCGGCACTGCTGCAACCAAGAACAAATCGCGCCACTTTCCTCCCAACCTTAGCTCAGCAGCTTCAGCAGGTTCAGAGCTTTGCTAATCTGTAAATGTGTCAGAAAACGTGTCAGAACACATCATGCATTGGGTCTGGTTGGACTATCATGGAGTATCACAGTGGATCATGCTCAAAACACTTTCATAACACTTCCATTGACGTCCGAGATCTGAATGTGTCAAAAACGCGTTCCAACGTGGTTTGCCACAGCCGTGTGCCACAGCCGTGTGCCACAGCCGTCTGCCAAAGCCGTGCCAGGCAGTGCCAAGGGACAGTCGAACGAAACATCGCCAGAGACAGGCGCAACAACCTCGAGCCGGATCCTCGGCACCGCGAGTTGTCACGAGCGAGTTGGAAGACAAGTGGAAGACAAGTTGTCATATCTTCGGACTGTCTGAAGACGAAGTGACGACGAAGTGACGACGAAGTGACGACGAAGTGACGAAGTCACGAAGTTGGAAAATGATGGATGTGAAAATGTGAAAATGTGAAAATGTGAAAATGTGAAAATGTGAAAACGAGTTGTCACATTTGCAGGTCGTCTCATGTCGTCTCTGCGTCGGGTCATCGCACGGCTTCTCCCAACAGCGGCTCTTGGTTTCCTGCGGCCTCCAAGTGACAGCAGGTGGACTGAGGCAAAAAACGCAGGGGTGACTCTCAAATGATCCAAAACACCCACTGTGACATTGTGTTTCTTTAAGGATATGGTCACAAAGTCACTACATTCTGCAGGAATCACTGATTCAGAATCGAACAAAACCATAAATTGCTGCAGGCTCCTTTCAGAACGCCAAAAAGGATGGTTCTGGGCCACTTCAACATGTCTATCTCTGAAAAAGAAGTTAACACGAATTAGATGGAACAATTCAGAAGTGTCACAACTATTCAGAAGCGTCACAACTTTCATTTGGCTCACAACTTTGGTCACTTTCCTTTGGATCCTTTGGATCCTTTGGAACTGGAATTCCGACCATGCCGGAAGTGACCATGTGGATATCGATATACAGTATGCATCAGTATATCGATCAGTATATCCATGTCATTCCATGTCATTCCATGTCAATTGCCAGATGAATCCATATAAATGATCCATATCTTATTAGACATTATTATTGATATGATATATATATATAATATAATATTTAATATATATATATATATATATATTGATATATATATATATATTGATATATATATATATATACATCAATTAGCGGAGGTGCGCTGTTTGCTAGTTGAAAACAAGGTATCGGCTCTGTGCTAGGCCGAAGGAAGTACTACCCCCCTTCGTGCTTAGCTAGGGACCTTTTCCTTAGTGGGATTTCGCGCGGCTTCCCACCGGCGGCATTGCAGCTGCCTTTGCAACGTGCGCTGACTCACTGGTGTCCCGGCACCAGTCTAAACAAAACCCTGGGTGCGTTGGAGATCCTCGCGTAGCCTGTGCTCTCCCGGGGTTCCCGGTGATCACCTGCGACAAGTTCGGCTAGAGTGGTTTATGGTTGGGGGCTCCTTCCTCTCATTGGTGCTTGTGCTCTTTTTGGTCTTCCAGGTGGACACTTCTGCCAAGGGCCTTTTGATCCTCGTGAACTACCAGTACGGCGACTGCCACAGTTCGCAGACACCTCCGACGCAAGAGGGCTGCTGCACGCAGAGCTTGGCATCTCCATCGACGAGGTATCATCAAGCTATCCAAGGAGAGACTTTCGAGCATTTTTGCAATTCTCCAGGTACATCACTCACGAGATCTGGTTTTCCTTCGCAGGCTGGTCACAGCAATGTCGGGCGATACCAAGACTCCGTGGCGATGCAGATTCTGCAAACAGCTGCGCAAACAGAGCGCACAGTATTGCCAGACCTGTCATCAACCCTGGCAGAATGTGATCGACTCGTCCTATGTGCATGGGACAAAGCAAACCACACAGGGACAAGGTCAACCACAATGCAGCCCCATGGCAATCTCAGCCAGATTGGTCTCAATGGCAACAGTCCCAGGGCAACCGAGGACGGACGCCATCACCAAGGCAACGTTCCAAGAGTGCCAAAGGCAACAAGACCCCCAAGAACCAGGGGAATCAGGGTCAACCAATGCAGCAGCCGGTGTTGCCTATGATGCCGCCTGCACCAACCATGATGGGTCCAAATATGCAGATGTACCCACAGATGGCATATCCATTTCCGCAGATGAACATGACAGGACATCTACCACCATTGCCACCTCCAGATACTCCTTGGCAAATGAGTATGCCTGCAGGGGCCAAGATGCCTGCACCAGTTTTGCCAACACCAGCACCGGCACCGACAACGATGTATGTGCCAACTATGCCGAGTATGCCTGCAGCACCATGCACATCAGTTCCCAAGGCACCTGCGAGCTCTATGAGCGATCCGGGTGTTCGTGGATTGATGTCCATGATGCGAGGAAGACAGGCCGAGTTACCGGAAGACATGCAGAAGAAGGTGCAAGCCATGTTGCTCAAGTATGGCAAGCAGTCGACAAAGGATCTGCACGCAGCTGTCACAGCTTTGGACAAATCCCGCGAGGAGTATGATCAAGCTGTTATGGCCAGAAGCCAGCATCACGCATGCTGGAAGAAATTTCTTGCAGATGCAGTACAGATGTGGCAGTCCTATGCAGATCAGTTTGTCGAGCAAGAGCGGAAACTTCAAGAGCAGGTGACAGGGGCAAGAGAGACCTTTCTCATGGCCAAGTCCGAGCTCGAGAACGCCAAGCTAGATGCTGGGGAGGTCTTGCACCCTTCGGACGACGAGCTTGTGGAGGGCGAGAACGAGACCACAGCAGGGACCTCGATAGCCAGCAAGCTCACAGAGACTATGCAAGGTCTGGCAACATCTCTCCAGAACCTACACAAGGAAGCAGAGACTCTTGTGGAAGAGGATGCGCATGTGGCCAAAAGGCCTCGCACCGCACTTCGACCAGAAGATCACGACATGCCACAAGTGCCTGGCGATGGTTCATCGCATTTTGGCAAGGCTGGTTGAGTATGACTCCAGAGTATGCCAACCTGAAGCCGTGGCTGAGTTTTGACCACGTGCAACCTTCCCAAGTGCCAGTTGTCATGAAATGGACACATAGCATTCTCCAGGAAGAGAACTTTGTCAATGAATGCAGAGCCATTGAACAAGCGCGATCGTTAGCTTTTGAGCTTGGGGTTTACGACGGCGTTCATGGTCCTCATCTTGGCGAAGTGCGCACATCAGAATCTCGTCCATGCCGACCTGTGAGAAGATTAGGGGTTCATCCTTTCACAGACATCTTCATCGGCAGTGAGAACGACCTTACTATGTATTCCACCATTGTTTTGGAATCCTGCCTTGGACATGGACAGATGCCATGGGCAGCGGGGCTTCTGAGAGGAGGAGAGTTCTCTACCATCATGAAGCCAGAAGATGATTCAGCATCCTCATTCAGCGCTGTGTTTCTGCCAGAACACATCATGCCTACACTACATGTTCCCATTGTAGCAGTTCCCAAAGGTGATCCAATTCAGATGAAACCGAATCGACAAGAAGATCCACAAATGTTAGACCCGTCTGATGGCTCTGAAGGCGAACATCCACCAGGTCGGCAAAGAGATCCTCACAGACCACCATTGCGGTTCTTTCCTGCCTGGGTTACCCAATTGTGGGATTTACTACAAGCCGAAGGAGCAGTTGAGATGGAAGAGGAAGGTCCAGTTTTGTATTTGCAGTCCTTCTACATCAGTCACCGGCATCACCCTCACCAACACATTTCTCGACCATTGCGCATTGACCGAGATTATGTGGATTGGGAGAGAGATTTCCGTTTTGTCTGGGAAGACTTTGTAGATGAGAATGCACCAATGGACATTCATCTGGTACAGCCTGAGCACCCTCTTCCAGTTACAAGAGGCGTTGCAGCAACAGTGCTGCTCACACAACATCCTGTTCCCCGTCAAGTTGCTTGTGTTGTTTCTGCGATGTATGACGATATTCCTACAACCAGAAGAGTTGAGTCGGCACATTCCCTTGGACATCTCACCTCTCCCAGGGACTTCCTATGGCATGCAGGAGCTCTACAAGCTTGCGAAGAAGTACAACAACAAGGATATGGATTCTGCACTATCAAAGCTGGTCCTTTCGAGTTTGATCAGACCAGACCGATGCGCCTGGTAGATGGACTTGGCATTGTGGTCCGCATCCCTCCAAGGCTTACGGACCAAGAGTGGGAAGATATCTTCTGTTCGCGATTTCGTGCAGATCCTGTGCCTCAGATGCGCTTCCCAGAAGATGATGATGCCGTACATTTCATGGCACGCTCCAGTGCCCAGTTATTTGCAACATACCAAGCAGCTAGTTCATCCTCCACCACCAGAAGCAGGTCTGCAGCTTCCTCAGACCAATCCAATGTGGATGAGGGAGAGAACTGGCGTTTAGCGATTGTCTACACCGTAGATGGACAAGCAGTACAAGTTGATGTGCCCTGGACAGATGCTCACCTTCGGGTTCAAAAGATTGCGCAGGCTTTCTCCATCCCAGAAGAGCAAGTCACACAGGTCTATCATGTAGCGGCTACTCCACAAGATCTGGCACAAGAAGAACTTGAGTGTTTTCTTCTTCAACGAGAACAGGACGTACCCAGCTCGACGCTGTTACGCCTGATCTTGGTTGACATTGAATACCGTCCAGATCATCGTGGTGCTGCAATGCGGATTGTACGCAGAGGTTTTTGGCTTCCACACAGGAGCAATGCCATCTCAATCATCAGACTTTTGGGGTATGAGGGACATTGTTCTCCCCGATACAGGAGATGTTCTCTTTGGCACAACCACCATGTGATTGACATTGAAGCCAATCATCTCTTACAGCTCTCCCATGGAGACTATGTCAGATTTCATCTACCATGGAGCCCGGACGATGACATGGACTATCTCTTTGGTCAAGAATGTCAACCTGCATCAGAGGAACATGCTGCCTTATTCCAAGTACAGGCGAGCATTATTATCACTGATGGAGGTCATTTTTCTGGAGCTTCGGCGCCGCACTGTCCCATTCAGATGAGATCCATTCGTGAGAGACGGCCACCTCGCGACCTTTTGCCCCATGCTCTTCAAGAGCAATTGCGAGCCCTCTGGGATCGGCCACATCTTCGGCAACGTTTTCCTGATCGCTCTGAAGTGATGCTCTTTGACACATGGTTTCTCAGCAATAGAGGATTCCATCGATGCGAAGTTCCCAGGCTGGCAGCTCTACCTCCAGATGTAAGCACGTGGATCAGCCACCTCCGGCATGTATGGTCTGACAGAGTTGATGCCATGCACATTGCAACACTTGTTCCAGTACAGCCAGGGACCTCAGATCAGCGACATGGAGGGCATCTGATTCTCCTGCAAGATATCCTACCTACACAAGCAGGCTGCCTTTTCAGCCGACAAGGTCCTGGCAGTCCTCAGGGACTACCAGTACGTTTTGCAGCCATCTTTGAACAACCCATGACAATTGAGTCGTTTCTCACTCAGACTGAAATGACTTATCTATGTGGACAGCCTCAGGTTATTTGCAGATTGGCTTGGGTGGGATTTTATCTACAGCCTGGCTTCTCGGTGCACATCCTTTCGGGCACACATCTTCAATTGTCAGTTGACACCATGAACATTGGGTATTCTAGCCAAGACAATGAGGACATCGTCATGATGCTTCAACAGCCCCATGTGCGCCCAACAGGTGAGCAGGTGGCTCATACTCACCGGCCATGGGGTCAACAGACACGACCACTTCAATGTAAACTACCTGAAGGCGGAGTTGCATCAGACAGGATCTACACCACTGACCAGCAGCCAGATCAACAGCCTCCAGAACATCCGGAGGGTTTCATTGAGCTCAGACTTGGAGATGTCAACCAATGCCTCACAGAGTTACGAGGTATTTGGGAACATCAGACCATTGAAGCTGAAGGTCATCTACAAGTCATGACCTGGTATGCTGACACAGAACGCTGGCCACGTTGCCCAGAAGCTCGTGCTGTCCAGCTGCCCAGTGATTTGTCCCAATGGATGACTCGGCTCATTGAAGCTTGGGACGATCGAGCAGATCCAGATGAAGTCTTCCATCTTCATATGATTCAGCCACAGCCACAGACAACTTTCTGGGAAGATCATCCAGCACCACACGTTTTGGTGATCCAGCAACCAATGCCAGATCGACGAAGTCTCCATTTTACTGCTTCCAACACAGAAAGATCTACCTCCCAACCTTTGCAATTCGTTGACACTCTTGCGCACCCAGCGACGCAGAGCAGCGTTTTACAGGCAGCAGGATGGGATGATCAACTTGGACTCCTACATCACATTCAGTATGAGATTTGGTGGGGAAATGACATCATCATGCAGGAAGGCTTTGCACATCTTCGTAATGGCAATGCGCTCACTGTGATTGCGCGACATCTCGATGACAACAGCCCACATTCTTCCATAGCTTCAGCAGATGCCACGGAAAATCATGTATCCCTGCTGCAGATCCAGGCAGTTCGTCAACCAGTCCAACTCACCTTGGAAAACCTACTGCCCATTGAGGAGGAGGAGATTGACTACCAGACTGCGGAGACAGCAACAGTGGCCATTCGCCTCATCAAGGGTGCAGAGATAGCTCCTCTACCAACTTATATTGAGTGCCAGTCTCCATGGTGCGAAAATGATGTTGTCACGGAGTTGCACTGTTGGGGTCACAGATGTGATGTATACCGATTTGGTGAACATGATGTTGCCCTCTGTTTTCCGAGCGGATGGAGTACAGAAGCAGGCATGAACCACTATATGCTCTGCCATACTGACACCACGGATCCAGAAGGCCAACTCCTCCACTCGCAGGCGAAAGTGATGACTGAAGTTGACCTGATGAGCTTTTTGTACGACTGTGGTTATTGGAGAGCATCCATCCAATCAGTAGAGTCTCTTGCGCCGGGGCTTTTCCGTGTCCAGTTCCTGAATGTGCAAGTTCAACAAGTCCAACACACCATTTGCAGCCGAGCCAAACCAGCATGGCCGGTCTGCACCCACCTGATTGGAGCACGAGGGCCTTACTTTACTCCAACAACTGATGTAGCTGGCGATGATTGTGTCATTGGTCTGGGCATTGCTCTTTATGACTTCATGAAACTTTTCACGTCCGCAGACGACATCTTATGCCGAGATCCAGCAGGACACGATTTTCCAGAAGTGACCAAGGCAGCTCTCAAGATGAGTGCATCTATGTGCCTTGATGACTATGATCGCATCATTGTGTACACAGATGGATCTTCCAAGGCGAAGGACAGGCACGGACCGCCAATCTGGAATGACGAGCGAGGCCATGGAGATTCCTGGGCTTTCGTTGTGGTAGGGGAGACCCTGACTGATGAAGAGCACAAAGTCGAAGTATTAGGTTGGACCACACAGCCGGTGATCTACGACCACCAAAGCGACCATTTCATTGGTGCTGATGGCATAGGATCGCACCTCGCCGAGAGGGAAGCCTTAGCCTGGGCTGCCATGTGGCGGCTCGCTCAGAATTCCAGAGTGGACACCTTATTTCGTAGTGACTCACTCACATCAACCAGACAAGCACTCGGGCTCATGGGCTGCTCGGAAAGAACTCTTTCCTTCAATACCTTTCGTGGATTATTCCAATCTCTAGAAGCAGCCCTTCCTCAAGGAGCTCTAGAAGTCGAGCATATCCACAGCCATACAGGTGAACCATTCAACGAAATGGCAGATTGGCTTGCACGCACTGAAAGAGAGAAAAGTTTCTACTACCCAAGACAACGTCTGGTCCTCGCGCAATGGCTTCCAATCATTCCTCATATGTGGACTTTGTTTAGCCAGGCGGATGGGCTACCTCCTCTTTGCGCAAATGGGCTTCATGCACCCACTCCTCAGCTGCCACCGTTGTCGAAACCCAAGCGGTGCACGGTGCAGGCCAATTCCTCTCACAGAGCAGGCAACTTTCATTTGAGTGCTGGCACGGCCAATGTCACCTCGCTCTACAATGGACCATGGGGTCATGCTGGGAAGACTGACTATCTGAGGCAGCAGTTTATCTCCCACAATTTGAACTTCCTTGGTTTGCAAGAAACACCGGCGCCAGAGACATTTGGACAGGTTGATGGAGTGCTACGGCTTGGTTCAGGTTCTGCAAAAGGACACTATGGCACTGAACTATGGGCGAACCTCAAGATCCCTTATGTATGGATCGGAAGACAGGCACACTACTTGAAGCCTAAGGACTTTCAAGTTCTTCATCGCGATCCAAGAATGCTTGCAGTCCAGATTGAAACACCCTACATGAAGCTCAAGATTCTAGTAGGGCATGCCCCACATTGTGGTCATTCTCTCCAAGAGCGTGAGCAATGGTGGCACACATTCTCCAATCATGCAAGACTCCGACATGGTTATGAGCGTTTGCTCGTTCTGATGGATGCCAACGCGGACCCAGGACCACGTGATGATTACGTAGTCTTCAAAGATGGCTTCTTATCCAATGAGAACACGCCTCTCTTGCAAGACTTTTTGACGGAACATGACCTTTGCCTCCCAGCGACGAGTGACTGTCATTGGGGGCCACATGACACTTGGGTGAGTCCGAATGGAGCACACCTTCACTGCCTTGATCATGTTGCCGTACAACAATAGACATGAGTGTACATACAGCTGCGTTTTGCAAGATCTTGATCTTGGCAATGGTTGCTGGGACCACAGTGCGACAGCGGTCCAGCTACAGTGGCATGAGCAATGTGACATTCCCCAAAAAGCCCCGCGGCTGAAGCCTTCTCCAACATATGACATCAATGGACTGCGCAGCAAACATGTTCAGCTGGCGATTGAAGAGTCTCCATCGGCCCCATGGACACAGGACATTGAGTCCCATGTTGATGAGTTCAATCATCACCTTCTCCATGGAGTTGCCAACCATTGTCCACAACCACAACGGGCCCCGAAGAAACCCATCTTCACAGCAGAGCTCTGGCAATTACGGGAGACAAAGTTAGCCACCAAGAAAGCGCTCAAGGACATCTCCAAGCGACAGAAACAAGAGATGTTACTGTTCTGCTTTTCAGCTCTTCGATCTCGAACTGCTATCTCCGTGGATGGTGGCTTCTTCTGGCAATACGACACATGGTTGCTGTGCAGCCGGGTCCGAGCATACTGCAAGTTCCACTGCAGTGCCAACCAATTGCGAGGAAGACTTCAGCATGCCAAATATGGGCAGCTCAAAGACATTTTGAGTGGCATGACTGCTACCACACCTGCAGCGAACATTTTGCACGAAGTCAAGAACCTCATTGGTCCAACAAATCTCAAGAAGGTCAAGGCCACAACCCTGCCCTATGTGAGGAATCATCAAGGACAAGTTTGTCAGAGTCCTACCGAAGCCCTGGACACCTGGATATCCTTTTTCCAAACGATGGAAGGCGGAGATCGCCTTGATGAGCATCAACAACGAATTGAATGGCTTGATAACCTCAAACGATTTTCTGCAACAGAGATCAATCTGCAACTCAGTGATCTTCCAAGCCTCACTGAGCTTGAAGCAGCCTATCGGAGAGTACAAGTTGCAAAGGCCACTGGGCCTGATCAAGTTGATGCCAGGCTTTGCCACCTTGCGCCAGCAGCCTTGGCTAAGAGGACATATGCCATCTTGCTCAAGACGTTCTTGCATGGCCATGAATGCTTGCTGCACAAGGGTGGTCGATTGCACCCCCTGTGGAAACAAAAGGGCGCGAAAGATCTTTGCGGATCCTTTCGCAGCATCTTGATATCGTCTCACATTGGTAAGTCGATACATCGTTGTCTGCGAGCTCATTCCGCCGACATCTTCGAGAAGTTCCTACAGAAGCAACAGCTGGGCGGAAAGCGCAAGATTCCGGTCACCTTAGGCGTCCATCAGGCGAGAGCCTACCTTCGGTCTCGCAAGCAGCAAGGGCTCAATGTGGGGATGGTGTTCCTAGATCTGTGCGAAGCGTTTTATCGCATCGTCAGAGAGATGGCAATGGGAGGCATTACAAGTGATGAGACCATTGCAAGGATGCGTCAACGGCTCAAATTGGGGCAGGATACCATGCGAGAATTGTATCAACACCTGGACAAGGCCTCCGCCATTGAAAGAGCGGGTATGCCCAAACACCTCCAAATGGTAGTCCAAGCTATCCATTCAGATACTCATTTTCATCTTCAAGGCCAACATGATCATTGCCGTACTCGACTTGGCACTCGGCCAGGAGACTGCTGGGCGGATTTCATCTTCAGCTTCCTCTGGGCACGTCTTTTACATGAGTTGGCGGATGAGCTCAAACCCCTTGACATTCTGGACTCCATCCCCCAACATGGTGGACTCAGATGTGAAGGGATTGCCGCAGACCCAGAAGACACTGAGATGACTGGTCGAGATGATTATCTTGGACCCACTTGGATGGACGACTCCTGTTTTTGCTTTGCTGCCACTGACCCATTGACGCTTGAGAGAAAGGCGGCCAATTTGTGCGGCTTGCTCATACAGAGATCCCAGTCCTATGCAATGACGCCCAATCTCCAACCGGGGAAGACAGCTGCGCTCTTGGTCTTTCAAGGTCATGGTGCAGCAGCTGCCAGGAAGCGATTCTTTGGCCCTCAAACGGACTCCAGTCTTCCAGTTTTACTTGAAGGAGGCGTTCAACGAGTGCAGGTGGTTGCCTCCTATGTGCACCTGGGAAGCCTCCTGCACCATCGGGGGGACATGCGACAAGAAGCACGACGCCGGTTCAGCATCGCTCAAGGAGCTTTCCAACACCACAGGAAAGTCCTCTATCAAAACAAACAGCTGCCTCTTCAGCGGCGAGCAGAACTCTTCCGCACACTCATCTTGAGTAAGTTTGTGTACGGATGCGACTCCTGGACGCTCATGGAGAAGCACACTCGACATTATGTGCATACCTCATTGATGAAGCTCTACCGACGTCTACTTCCTCAGGCATATATCAAATTGTACAGCGATGAAGAAGTTTTGCAGCTGACTGGCCTATCAGATCCGTCTGATTTGTTCCGACAGCAACGGTTGCGACATTTGGGGGCCCTCTACTCCTGTTCTGACTCAGTTCCTTGGGGGCTTCTCAATGCAGATACGGAATGGACGCAGTTGGTGAGGAGCGACCTTGAGTGGATGTGGTATCAACTTCGATCCTCATCCAAGCTTCCGGATCCGCATCACCACTTTGGTGCGTGGGTCAGTCTCATGAAAGACCACCGGCGCTACTGGAAGAAGTTAGTACGTCGAGCTGGTGATCATGCAGCAGCACAAAGAGACAATCTTTTCTCAGTGACTCAATTCCACAGAGCCATTTTGCAACAACTTCATCAAGCACAATGCCTTGTACAAGGACCACCGTCAGAAGTGCGCACATTGGCAGGGCCGGCTTATGGTTGTATGCAATGTCAAAGGAAGTTTGCATCTCGAGGTGGGTGTGGAGCGCACATGTTCAGAGCACATGGACACATTCACCCAGTCCGACGCCTATTTGACACGACGCAGTGTGGATGTTGCCTTCGAGAATTTCACAGCTATGGCAGGTTGAAAGCTCATCTAATTCGAGCAGACTACTGCCGACACAGCCTTCAGAGGCGCAATCATTATGTGGTTCCAGCGGCAGGCATTGGATCCAGTGAGAACGACCACCAAGAACGAATCCTGGATGGACTTCTCCCTCCTCTACCTGGCCATGGACCTCATTTACCTCAAGGGCGACATGGAGTGGCCTTGGACTATAATTTGATCATTTTTGAAGAGATCTACATGCGCATGCTCGAGGTCACTTCGGTTGCTGAAGGCGAAGCTGTACTGAGAGCGGTTGCTTCAGAGATTCCTACCACTTGGGAAGACTTCCGCCAGACGCTGCAAGCCTTGGTGCGTGAGGCCACTCCCGAAGATACGGCAGTACTGGGTATCAGTGCAGAGGATTTCTTTGGTATCTTGCGTAGATTTAGCCTTGAAGCGCAGTGGTCTTTCCTTTGTGAAGAAACCGAAATCGTAACTGAACATTGGCATCGAGAATTGCACGTCTTGGAAGATTTCTGCACTACGGAAGCGCAGACGACTCATTCACGTCAGGGACATGCAGGAGTTCCACGGGGCTTTGGAGCAGTTCGCTACGTGTTGCACGCATTTTCCGGCAGACGTCGCTGCGGAGACTTTCAGTTTTATTTTGATCGTTTAGCTGCATGTACAACTCTTTGTCATTTCACTCGATGTGGTCATAGACTCCACGTGGGGCGACATATCGCGACCGCAAACCAGAGACTTCTGGCTAGGCGCAATTCATGCTCGATGGGTGGTAGCCATTATTGGCGGTCCTCCTTGCGAGACCTGGTCGCAGGCCAGGGAACGCTCCATCGCAGATCATGCTTTTGCCCCAAGAGTTTTGCGCGTCCCGGAGACTCCGTGGGGCCATCCTTCACTCCGTTTGAAGGAACTGAGGCAGATCCGCGTGGGCAATGACCTCATGGGCTTCATCTTGGAAGCGGTCGTCATGCTCTATTGCGTTGGTGGTGTGGCAGCGCTTGAGCACCCGGCAGCGCCGACCTCTGAGGAATCTGTTTCCATTTGGCGGACACCGATTTTGGCCTTGCTTTTGTCTCTGCCAGGCATTGAACTTGTTTCATTGGCACAGGGTCTTTGGGGTGCAAATCCCCCAAGTTCAACGTCTTTTTTGCTTGTGAATGCGCCTGACATGAGACAAGCACTGCGCAAGTGGCAGATTACCCGAGAGTTACCAAAGGGTATCTCTATCGGAAGGGACCAAGCTGGAGGCTGGTCCACCTCAGTTTTGAAGGAATACCCGCCATCCCTGAACGGAGGCTTGGCTGAAGGTATCCTGGCTGCTATAGGACAGTGCGCGAGTGACCCATCTGTCACTGTTCCGATTAGCTTTGCGGACCGCTGTGCCTCCATGATGTGTGCAGAATATGGAGAACACATCGGTCCAGACTATGCCGGCTGACTTGGAATTTTCTTGCTTATTTCCTTCATTTGGCTTGATTGTTTGCTTGTTTGGTGCACTCTTTTTTCGAGTTGTTTCAATTTGCCATCTTATTTGATTCAGTCAGCGGCTGCTGCATGGTGGAACCGGCAGCACAGAATTGATGTGCAGGCCGCAGCGTCCAGTTACGCATCTGTGTGCCCGAGCCAAAACAAATATATTGATATTATGTAATATATGGACATCTGGACATCGATATGGACATCGATCCATATGGATCACTGATCCATTTCGGCCGTGATGGGGGCACCGGCAGCACCGTGCCGATCCGAGCTCCAGGCTGCCACCTGCGGCAGCGGTGCTTCTCGCAGGCGCCAGCGCTTCAAGACCCCGGCCTCAGCTCGGAACAGATCTGGGAAAATATGGAGATCCTTTTGGAGTCATGAGATACCAGTTTTCAGATGGAAAATTCTGTCAAATGGAAATTTCAAGAAAAGTTCAGCAGGAACCTTAAGCCCTTTCCGCATCTTCACGCAAAGTCAATCAACATTTCTCATGACCAAAGGGTTTTCTCTGTTTTTCTTTGCTTCAAATGCTGAGTTCCGTCGCAGTGTAGGAATGGCATCTGACCTGAAGGCACCCGAACCAAGGACCGAAAAGACCTACCTCTGAAGGCATTGCAGATCTTGCAGATCTTGCAGATCTTGCAGATCTTGCAGATCTTGCAGATCTTGCAGACTGCACTGTGTCTTTTCAAGAAAAGGCGAAAGGTTCAGGGGACAAATCAAGACGAAACGCTTGGATATTCGGAAGAGCGAGAGACGACTCCAGAGACCAAGTGAAGTTCAGCTCAGCGTTTCATAACTTGCAGCCTAGCGTCCCAGGTACCACCAGCCAAGCCACAGAGCACACCTGGCACAGCAAAGTTGAAACACATGGTGTTTTCATTTGTGAAACGATTCCCATTCTTTTCCATTCCCGTCATTCCCAAATATTCCCATGTTGAGACACACCTTCCGTGGAGATCTCCGTGCGCCTAAAACGATGTCGATGGCCAGCCGCATCACGGGATAGTCGGTGTCAACTCCTTCTCCCGGAAGCACGTTGGAGCCTCTGTCGTAGCCACGGCCCAATGATTCAGTTTTGTGAAATGGGGGGATCCTATGAAATTATCGTACCAGATAATATCCGATCGTTAGATAATCAGAATATATCAAAACAATTCAAAACAGCTATCTTCTTGGGGAAAGTGATGATCAACCATGGGCTTTTGGGGTACCGTACCCCGTGGTGAACACCAAGTCATAGTCAACCAGCTGGAGACCAGTGAAAACCAAAAAAAAACTTGAAAGAATCGGTTTAGAATCAATGTTCAGAGGATCTCTCAGGATTCTTCACAGCTAGAGGCTGGAGCAATTTAATGCATGGAGAATCCAAGCACAAAAGGCAGTTATTTAAAGGTTATTTGAATATTTTTTGTTTTTTGTTGATGTTTGTTGTTTCATCATGTTTCATCATTTTGAGTCAATTTGGCTCACCCAATGTGGATCCGTTGAGGCCGTTGAGGCACTGATCAACGGCAGCAGCCGCACGGAGCCCGAGGTCAGCGTCCGTTCCACGGCGTAGGTGATGG